GGTAAAGGCAGAGCATTGACTGAGCTCCTCCTGACCTGCCAGGGTCTTTGTGTTCCTTGCTCTGAATTGAGTTAATTATTACCGAGGGGAGCATGCCAACCTGTCCTGAACCTGCCAGGCTAAAATAAAAGAAGACCAAGCAGAGTCTATAGGATGAAGCAGCTTTAAGATCCAAGACGCTCTGATGCGCTTCTCTCCATCAATCAAGCAGCATTGCTACGGTACAACGTAAAAGCACCTTCTCCTCTCTTCCCCCATACTCTTTTTCAATGCTACTCTCCAAAACAAAACTTCACAAGCACCTTTATGGTGCAAATAAGCCATAGATCCAAATAATTCATTCTGGTATGCCTCTCATTTCCAAGACCACTTTGCAAAAGCACTTAAAAAAAACCCCAACCAAAACCAGCCAACCAAAGCCAGCACAAAGTGAGAGAGCCCAGCAGAGAATTCTTACCATGCAGCTGATTTCAGTGCATGCAGATGGTGCAAGTGTCTGGTAAGGAAACCCCATGTGCTTTGTGTGGTGCAATCTCTCCAACACACGTAGCTCAGGGGGCAGGGAGATGCTGCTGTGAGCAGAGTAACCGTGGTGGAAACCCTCCTTCCTGCAGAGGAGGCACAACCCGGTTGTGCCACTGAGCCGGCAGCCCCAGCACTGCTGCTGCTGCAGGAGGGCAAAGGATTTATTCCTGGGGTGGCAAACACTCCTATCCTCCAGCATTTGCTTTTAAGAAGGCAGCACCAGAGAGTCTTCTGGAAAAGTAACAAGTGAAGTGGGACATCTCAGCCCTGCAGCTGAGATGAACCCCTAGAGAACCAGCTGCTGCAACAGCAGAGAACAACCCATCCAATGACAGCAGCAAACCCAAATAAGTTAAGAGTCAATACCATCTCTGATGCAGAATGAAAGGTCAAAACCATACCAGCAACTGTTTTGGGATAGGCTTTTCAGGGAAAGCTGCCATTCCTTGCCTGCCAATTGTAACGTATTCCAAAGATTTCATCAACTAAGTTGTGTTCAACAAACTGCTATTTAATTACCAGAGTAGAATCCTGTTAATTAGCCAGCCCCAGAAGACAGCCCTTCATCCCTGTTAAGCAAAATTCCCAACTAATCCCTCCAGCAGCAGTTGTCTGGCAGCCTGGGAAGCCACAGAGCTATTAGAGATGCCCACAAAGTAGGGGGAACAATCAGCGCTTGGCCCCCACTTGCTGCCAGCAGCATCTTCAGCCCTGGGAAGGTGCAAGCCAGCACAAGGCTGATACTCAGAAGCAAAAAGCTCTTACCATTTCTCAGCCGTCCCTCCTGGCTCCACTTGCCCCAGCGGCTTCAGCCACAGCCTGGCCAGCATCTCTTCTTCCCCGACAGCTGGTGCTCCTTCTGCATCCCAGTGCTGCATCCCTCCCTCCCTCTGCACAGCCCGTGCCCCTGAAAGAGGCCAGCAGCTCTCCTTCAACCAACTCACCACCACACAGCATCAAATCTTTTCCCGGGAAAAGGCTGCGAGCACCTTTTACAAGGTGCCACAAATATTTCTAAAGCCAACCAGAGCTGTCCCCCTACTCATCTCACCTGGCTTCCCAGGACAGAGGCTAAAACAATCCCCGTACAACATCAGCTCTTCACGAGGCAGACCTGGGCAGGAGGACAGGGATATCAAGTTCCTACAAAATTAATAAAACCAGCCTGGCTAAAGGAGAGAAGTGCTCCAGCTATCCAAAAGGCTTCAGCATGACCTGCCATGCCAGCAGACACCAGATAAAGCCCAAGGATGCTGTCCCGGTGTGGGCAGGTATCAGCCAGGGCTCGTTACCACCCCAAGAGGGAAGCAGGTTTCTTTCATTCAGCTGATGCAGCAATCTGGAGTTTCTCTGCTGTCTGTCACCACGGAAGTTAAATGTTTTAATTTTATGTTGAAATGCCAGCAGAAATTCATTTTGATAAGAAGTTGTAGGCTCTTCTTTGACATCCATTTAAACAACTTAGATGATTTTGAAGTAATGGGGGGTTCATCTAAACAAGTTCAATAAAGCAGTTTTCCAGGTGAAAATAATAAATATTTAAGAGACTAAAAAATTTAATTGTTCAACACCATTTGGTAGAAATATATCTGTGCTGTGGAGATCAGTAGGGATGAAAGGACAGTTCAGAAATTCCACAAAGTCTTTAAATTAATGGTTGCAAAATTCCAATATGCGATGTGTCATGTTCCTGTAAACTTACACTGCCCGTTTTGACTCAAGCCGGTTTTTCATTGAGGCATACAATATGCTGAATTTTAGCCAAGGCAGCCATCAATCCAAATTCTATAATAATATTCTGTAACATAATAATAACAATTATTATCAGAATTAAGCCCTACAGAAAAATGTATTTCTGTATTATAGATTAGGGATTTAGAACAATGAAAGACTGACAACAGCTCATAATGTGGACCGTGGTGGTCCATGCACAGCTACCCCACGCTATGGCCGTGCTAAAGTCTCTCTCAGCCTCTGTCCAGTGTTCGAGCAGAAAGGTCTTTTATACTGAAAGAGCCGTGTGAGGCAACTACATTGAAATAATTTCCTTCAATAGGATGAATAAAGTAGTATCTTAAATTAGCAGGTTCCAGTGACGTCAGCAGATTGGCCACTTCCGCCAGCAGATCCAACTCTGCCGAAGTCAATGTCCGTGCTCAAGGAACCCGAAGGAGAGGTAAGAGGCTCTACCTTGTTTCCAAAAGTAAAAGTAAGCAAAGGGTGAGGTATGTGATTAATTAGTATTCCCGTTAGTGTTCCAGTCACATTTCCTCCAAAGACAGGAAAGTATTTCAAGTGAGAAATCTTGCTCATCAAGCTGTTGAAAACGTTTTTTCTCCAAGTTTTGTACCCTTCGCTTCTCCGAGGTCACTTTTTGTCTCCATCACACGGGCCTGGAGCGGGTCCGTGTACATCACACCTGCAAACACCAGCCAGCCCTTCATGGGTAGCTGGTGTCCGGAGGCCTGCCTCTATCCATTCCTTGGAAAAAGGGCACCCCCACTCAGTGCAGATAAAAGGGAAGGTCACCGCAACGACTTCACTTCATCCTGCAGGGAAAGCGCCTTCCTACATTCCCTTATTTCTCAAGGAGGCTGGGTATCTCAGCACAGGAGTCGATGGGTGATGACGTACCTACAAGAGAAACTACACTGGCTTTCAACGCTGCTTGCAGTTAAATATATATAATTTTTTAAACAGATCTCAGACCATTTAGAGGTAATCCAAAGGGAGTAATATTATAAAGAGAAGTCCTTGCAGCACTAGAGGTATCTTCGAATGTCACAGTGATAAAAACTAATCTAAGCAAGGCTGGCTGGGGTATTTCAGGTACTGTCACTGCAGTGTGAGTTGAAAAACGTCATAAATAAAACTGGTAATAGTCTCTATGCTTTTTAATTCAAAACCTCAATCTAACTGCAGCTCCAAAACACCTCAAGTATTAACTGAATACATACAAGAGATACAACTAAATCTTCAGATGTTTCTGATTTAGTAACAAAAAAACCTGTTTAAAAATATTTTTCATCTATGAACAAAACAGATAGTTTCTAAGAGAATACGTTTTACTGAAAAATATACAGGTTTAAAAAAGCAGGTTCAGTAACATGTAATCTCAAACCAATTACAGAAGCAAGACATCTGGATTTTAGAAAAAATATTTAATTAATAATGCTCATTAACTGGACAGTTTCAATTCATAAATACAGGTGAAGTTAAAAAAAAAATCTGAAATGTGCAATTCTTATTTTTAAATGTATTTGGTTTTAATGGCTGCCTCTTAATATAGTAAAGATGTGGAAATCAGTGCCACTTGAACACTTGTCAAACAAAAAGCTCTTACCCTTGAAGTAATGCTCAGTGGAGTGTACGTTCAGCTCTACCTTGCAGCTTCTTCTTGTAAAAAGAACTACAGCAGCCTTTGGTAGTATATTAAAACAAACCAACACCTCGACTAATTATTATAGCAAATAATTAAAGGTTAACATGTTTTGTATTCATATTCATGCTGCAACACAAAATCCATTTCTGTATTTTTTTGTCAAATGACACTTAGCAAGTCATGATGGGTTGAAACTACATACGATGGGGTCTCTGCACTGAAGTCAACAGCAGTTCTGATACTGACCTTCGTGGGTCCCTCACAGAAGTGTGAGGGGTGGATCCAGTTAGTCTAATGCATTAAAAATGATTCTTGACGCTTTGTCGTGAATGTACAGAAATATATCATAAGAAAGCAAACTACATAAAAACATTCAAAAACCCATCCCCTCTTAAATAAGAGAGGTGTGGAGTTTGCAGGGTTTCCTGCTGCAAGATCTCTCATTCTAGTCTGAACAGGGGCTCTTCTGAAATCACTGCAATTAAAACACTCGCTAACACCATCGCACAGAGGATTAGTCCCAATACGAATGTGTTCTTTTACACTTTACTATTTGCTTCTGCAGCACGTGTGTCGTTGTCAGTGCGAGACCAGATTACACTGAATATTAGAAAAAATGCAGCGCAATTTCTTTCTGTCTTGGGACAAAACCAGTGAGGATATCATAACCTGATAGGAATGTTTTAAAACGAAAAATTGAAAACATTTCACCACGCCAGTATTCCTCTATGTACGTCTAGGAAAAGCAGCGTAGCATCTCTGTGCACGTTTGCATTTAGCTAGGTACAGTACAGAAGAAATTAAAGCCGTCTGTCTTAATGATATAGGAACAAATATACTCTGATTGAAAAAACAAATGGCCAAAATATCTTCTAAAAGAGACAATAAAAAAATTTTTAAAAACCCCAACCAAACCAGAAGTAATGAATTGCATATTTAATGGTCAAGGCACCTGCTTTTCCTCATTATCCCAGTTTGAAGTGTTAGAAACTCAAAAGGGCCACTGAGTATAGTGCTTCTGCAGGGCTTCTACCATCCTTCTCCTTGTCCAGACCACCTCAAAACACCAAATAACAACAACTGAGCTTGGCACTTAATGTTTACCCCGCTGACCTTCAAAAGCATGATGCTCTCTGTGCGCTAAGGAAGAGAAAAGGGAAAAAAGAATAAAAGAACGTGTAAACTTTGTTGAGGAGTCTAAAAGATGAAAAGAGAAGACAATGCATGAGTAGTCAAGAAAGACACAACATGCCAATGAGCGGATTTTGGGAATACACTATTTGATAATACATTTATATTGAGGCTAAAATAAGAGATCACTTAAAACCCTGCATGTAAACGGTTCCTCTAAATGAACACTTCAGTTGAACAGCATGTCACCTTGAGAGTTATCAGGAGATTTGTCTCACTCATTTTACGAATCGGGCATATTAAACATGGAAACAAATATATTCTACAATTAAACTTATACTGTGAATGGTAGCTAACTTTTACATTGAATGGACAAAACCATATATAGTTTTGAAGTTACAATTTTAATGCAAAGGAGAGATGCTGTGTTTCCAAATGGTTAATCATGAAGCAGGCAGGATAGTCCCATGGAAATACCCTAAAGCATCTTATTTCTCCAACGAAAGTGGAAATCAACACTACAGAATACTTACATTTATAAAACACTGCTTTAAAAGACGTGTGTGGCAGAAGTTTATGTATCTTTTCTAAAACTTTTGCTTCGCTTGCTAGGGAGGCATTCACATTCCAGACTTGCACAACATCTTCACGGTCACGAACGCTGACGCTAACCCCTATTACTTCATCATCTGCAGACAAGAGGAAGCGTCATTAAAGAATACTTTAAAAGTGAGACATGTCTAATTTGATACTTGAGTATTATGAAACAGTGCCCAAAAGCTGAACAAACTGAAGAAATGAAAAAGAGAAATCTCCAGCGAGGCGAACACCAATGTTCAAACCAGACAAAATAGTTACCAGAAAGAAATAAACACTGTATTTATAGGAGCTGTTGGAAATATTACCTCATCGTGGTTTTAATAAAGTGCCATAGGATTATTCATCTTTGCTATTAGCATTCTTATCCTTGATTAGACAGGAATCACAAGACTCCCTTCAGTAAGGTTAGCAATATAAACCACTAAAGGCAATTTACCTACAGTAATGGCTATAAGCAAAAATGGAGGGTAAAACAACTAAAACCCCAGGAACAGTACCTGGTGGAAATCAGACACCAGCTTTTCCAGACTTTGCTCTCTTTTTCCTTTACATTTTATCAAGGCAGCAATAGGAAAAAAAAAAAAAAAGAAAAATATTAGCAAGAGCCCGCTCAGGCTGCTGCTGCCAGTGTTGGTAACTCCACGCTTCGCCCAGAGAAGCCCTTTTTGGTGTGAAATCCTCACGTTGCAGCTCTGTGGAGAGCTCAGCCTAAGGCCATGCCGCAGCTGGGAGCGGTGGCCACCTCCATCAGTGACCTCTGCTGTGCCGTGTGTCCAAAGGAAGGGGTCAGTACCGGTGCCACAAAGGCGGTGTCAACAGGGGAAAAACTACCTCGGCAAGCAGCAGCACGTCAGGTATTTGCTTAAACAGACCCCGAGACAACCCCATCAGGATAAAGGGCAGGAACACTCCTTTCTTGACACCAACGCGGTTATGGATATTAAGGATATTGAAAAGCAACTCTTAGACACGTCTCTTGCAGCTTAAGGGTTTGAGGCTTGTATTCCGTATCTTCCAATTCTGACGGTTGGGAAGGCAACGAGAGAAACAGACTATTTGAGAAACTCATTCTACAGAACTTTTGTAGAAAAAACAAAGCCACCAAGGGGAATATACCAGCAGCAGCTAGGTGTAAGAGAAAGCATTTGAAAGGGTTTTGCTGAACTGCTCTGTGAACCTGAGAATTGCAATTTTCATCTCCGGAATGACAGAGGAGTGAAGGAACGCTCCTAACAGGATATTCACCATCACCGCAACATCCAGTTTAATCAGATATTCACGCATAGGAGGGAAGTCAATATGGTCAAAAAGAAATGATGGAGAAGTGTCATTTGAACTGAAAAGTTAGTTTATTAACCTGGTCCCCAAACACCTTCCCTCTAGGCCAATGGATCAGTAAGTTCATCATTCACTTCACCCGGAAGCAAGAAACAGTTCTGTAACCAAACCCCAACGAATTAAATGGTCACAGACTTGTACTGGCTTCTCATGACTAAGAAGCAGCATTTGATGATCCATCTTAAGCCAGCTAGCATTCACAGTCCCTTCCCGGAGTCCATTTCCAAATGAAACATGCAACCTTGCAAGCCTAAAGAACATATTTATTCTGAAAGCAACGTCGTTGAATTATCACCTCTGACCAAAATCACATGTGAGCTTCTGGAGGATTAATGTGTGTTTTCCAGTAAACCAGCGAAGTATTTTAAGAATATTTATGTAAATTCAATCACATTAAAGGTTACCTTGACCTAAGCAGCATTTTTAAGCAATAATGAAAATACTGCTTCTGAGTAGAAGGCTAACCTGAGATTCAGGAGAGCCAGGTTTGTGTTATGGCCTTGCTACGGGCTTTTAATGCCTCCACAGGCAAACCAGGCAGCTTCCCTCTGCTTCAGGTCTGCACTCGTGCTACCCCTCACAGCTCCTAATGAGAAGGGACCGTGAGGGTTAATAGGGACATCTATCTCATTTAGTTGCTTCCAACAGTGATAGTACAAACAGTCTAGGACAGAAGTGCCGTTTGGGGTTCCAGAGTTCTGGCACTGTAGAATTAATCATTTCAATTCTGTCTAACAGATAGATATTTAAGAACTAGAAAGCCTGCTGGCTTCCCAGGGATGCAAGCTGTTGAGCCTGGGTCTTGTGCTAAGACGGTCAGAATATCTTGTTCTCCTCTTAATGACACCAGATACTAATAGAGTTTCCAGCCCTGTCCCCCATTTTTAGCAGTGCTTCCATGTTCTGCATTCAGAATCGGTGTCTATCATGCTAGCCTCAATCATTTTTAAAAAGTTACCTGCTGCACAACAATCTGTAAACTGCTCTCCAACGGTTGCTAACAGTAGCTCTTTCCAAACTGCAGCCTAAGGAGGGAAAAAACCCATTATGTTTGCATTATTTTTTATTTTAAACATTAGGTTTGCTAGCTTGGTTTTGAGTGCATTCTCTTCCTGAGGTGGTCTAGACAAAAAACAGTATTGTAAGTACACGCCATGCTTACATTACAAAATTAATTCCTTCAATACAGTTGGAACAAAAATTTAGACCCTGAAAATACACACTATTACACAGAATTGTTCTAATAAGTATTTTAAATATTTAACAGTAAGTTTACCTTCTCAATACCTGTGTCCAGGACTCACCCTGAACGCAGTAGTTAATGTAAAGCATGAAAGCAAATTTCTCCCAAGAAATTCCCATGATAAAAGACCGTAAGGCTCCACTTGTGATCCTTTGTTTCTACAGAAAAAACTTACTAACCACTCTAAGAACAGTACCTGAAAACCCTACCAGTAAATTAAGTTGATTTACTTTTAAACATCACCTCCGATTTGCCTTGACTATGGATAAGTCCATCTTTCAACAGACTCAAGCGCTAACTAGAGAATTGAAAGGTGGGGGGGAAAGCGATCTGTCACTTTTCTTCAGCTGTTAGACTAATTACACTGTTACTTGCTTTTGACACTTGTTATCACCGAAGCCAATGCCCATACAAAGCTTCAGACATGTCATAATGCTCCAAGGTGTGGGTTTAGAAGGGCAGAATAATGTTATTTCTTTTTCTTTTTTTAACAGAACACATCAAGATCTCTATTTGTCTTTATCACCACAATGACTTTTTCATATGCTACTTTTAAGGAATGTCTTTTCAGCTGTATGAAGGTAGCTGGAGTTTTAGCACTATTAAAAACCCCAGCAAATCAAACGCACCAGGTTCAAACAAAAAGCAAGCAGCCACGAAGATGACCAACTAACAAACTGCTTTAAAGGCATTCCCGCGTACTCCTAAGCCACCTTCTAGGATCCAAAGGATTCCTGACTCATTAGCCTCTAATCCAACGCATCACATAAAGCTGTGCCGTGGGAAGGACCATCTGATGCGACGGCTCCCGCGGCAGGCTGGAGACGCCGCTGTGACAGCCCCCGACACGGTGCCTTTTGCCTGCCAGCGGAACGGCTCTGTCCCCATGACGGGACTGACCACGCACACGCATCCCCCGGCGCAGCGCTCACTGCTGTGAGTCGTCCTAACGGTGCCAGGGGTAGGAAGCACTTCACTCAGCAGTAAGCAGTTGCAGGATCAGGCTTACGAAGATCTAAAAACTACTAGTTTTTGTATGAAAATTTGGCATACAGAAGCATCACTGTATATGTGCAACAATATGTAAGTGTCAGTATTTTGTCAGTCAGTTTTTATACCACTTGAAAAACCAGTATCTTTAGAAAAAACTACATTTCCCTCCCTCCGCAGCCTCGCTGAGCACTGCTATAGCGTATCATCTTCTTGAGGTAGGTCTGTATGTGACGGTTCATGTTAGCCAAGGAGATGCCGTGTGCACACATGACGGTGTGAAGAATAAAGCCAAAACCGAGAAATAACCATAAAGGTATCATTTATATCGTTTACAGAGGCACTAAAAGCTGACTGAAGTTCACCTTCCAATAAACCTTTCAGAAGTGGCCTGGGACATGCGGGACGTAGTTTGAGAGATTAAAAAGCACCTTATTTCAAAAAGGGGCTGTGATTCAGCCTCTGAAACACAAGGTCTCGGAGATCCCTACATTCACCACCCAGTAATGCAGGCTCCCCAAAACACCTGTCACTTCTGACAATCCTTGCACCTTGGATTATAAGAGGAAAAGGAAAATTTCTGTCTTTTCTGATCCCTTGGGACTGCAGGGGAGGAGAGCTGCAATTCACACACAGGGGAGAAAAGCCCACAGGCAAAAAAATCAATTAACTTTTGACAGAAATTTCAAGTACCATCTTTCAGCATTTAGTGCCTTCTGCAAGGCTATCACTTTTTTCTGAGATTTCACTGATGTTTAAAGGCCTGACCCTTTAAAAAAGAGGGAAAAAACCCTCTTTTTTTTTTTTTTAAAGGAGGGACCCTTTCCCCCTTAAAAAAGAGGGAAAAAACCTGAGTAGCACTACAGTTTCCCAAGATGCACACAAGGTGATCTGACAATTCACTATTGCCAAAGGGGGATGACCCCCATTCTCCTTTTTTCCTTTACCCCTCCACATCCATCAAAAAACCACTCCTGGCCATACACTCAAATTAAAAATGAAATAAATAGGAGACTTTTTCTGCCATTAGGCTGTGTATTAGGCTGGATCACAGAACATTTTGATGAGCACCAGAGGCAGCGCAAGAGGGATCAGGGGAGAACGAGCAAGATCTTCTCCCTTCCCACGGGAGCAAGCCACAGGACAGGAGTAGCTATCAGTGGAAACAGCACCTCGATCTGCATTTGGCTACAGAAAGTCACAGGGCTACTCAGCCACACACAGGTGCAAACAGGCCAAGCAAAAATAGTCCTGCTGAGTTTGACAGAGAGTTTAGGAGCATTTCAGTGAAACTCTGAAAGTTGTGCTGGACTGTATGTGTGGACTTTTGAAGAGCATTACTGAGGTTCTGGCTACAATTTAGCATATAATATTAACAGGAAAAGATTTTCTATTTTTCTTTGCATGCCTGTAAGCACACAGTCTTGACAACAAGGGTGATTATAAAACACTGTTACCAAATGGAAATGGAGTATAACACTGCAGCTTTTATTTGCTTGGCAATACATCAACAAGTGTCAAAAGCAAGAGATATGGAATTACCACCAAAAAAACCCTTTTGCTCTATGTCTTTAAATAAAAGGTTATAGATGTTGAAATAGTGTTTGGTTGTTGTATTGGGTGATGTCAGAACTAAAAAGCTTTACAACAGCTTTATCAGATGGAGTTTAAGGAAACGCCCTTACTAAACCATGTCTAAGTGAAAAGTCAATACAACATACCGTGCTTTCTTTAGGGACCTTCATTTTCCATATACCTCCTTTGGCGTTGCTTTCCTCTTCCCTGGTGATGGAAAACAGATCAGTGAAAATAAACATTCAAATCCACATCTAGATAAACTTGAATTCTCCCAGAAAAATCCCATCGGAAATGCAATTACTGACTCCAGGTAGCATGACTCAAGTTATGACTTCTGACATCAGAGATAATTCTTTCATTGTTCATGAAGCGGATCTCAGCACCTAAGCCCTTTCCTAAGTTTTGTGTGTTGGAAAATACTTACATTTTCCCTGACTACAGCCCATCTTTGAAGTGGCTGCAACCTACATGAGAACAAGCCACAAAGCAATTTCATGTTTTACTATGGTAACCTTTTATTTTGGAAAAAAACTCCGGCATTTTTTTCACAGAAGCAGCTTATTACTCTCAAGTTTATCCAATTTAACAAAAGAACAGAGTGCACTTCATTTCAGTTTTGTGTCAGCTAGAAATTAATTGCCCTTATTAAAAATGACTGAAGCTGCCCAGGGTCAGGGCAGACATACCTATTAAACTGCCTGATAATGACAAAGGCGCAACGTACAGACCTGTGAGCTTCAAGTTTATTCTGTCACAATTCTTTTTATTAGATTTTAAATTAGGGCTTCTAGTTTCCTTTTATAAGTCTGTAGAAGAAAAGTTAAGTGAATAACCTAATTTCATCTTTGGAATATCTAAAGCCAGCGTAAAACCTATAGAGATTCCTCAGGACCAATGGTCTCGCAACAATCCAGGCAAACATTGGGGAAAGGAGGGGGCAATCTCTGTGAGGACATCTTCAAAACTCTGCACTCCTCAATTCTTACTTCAGAATTTGTTTTTTTCTCCTAAAAACAATGCTGCAGTTAGCCAGTACACTGCAACTAATCTGAGAAAAGCTTGGCAGTGATCGCTGAAAAGTTAGCTGATTACTGATGGGACAGACCCCTGCAATCCCTCTCCTAAAATACAGCATCTGCAGTTACTTTAACAGTCTTAAAGCTGATGTAGTATTTTCAGGAAAGATCTTTGCATTTCACACCTTTAATAGTCACTTGTCAAATCAAACCTAAAAAAAAACCAACCCCAAAATGTTCCCGCTCATCCTCACTAAGATATCAAGACCTGCATGCAATGGCCAAGTTGATTTACACAGACATCAACATTACTTTCAAACCCTGTTTTGCTATCCTGACCAGGCACAGTATTTTTTAGAACAATAATCTAGACTTTCAGATGCATTTCACTTGAGAAAATTATTTACTTCTTCAGTAGATTAGGACAGAAACCCCCTGTAGTAAATCACCACCCAGTTAGACATACTACAGTCAAGTGAAAGAGCTCTAATCCAGTCAGAATATATGCAAATTATCCCCAAAATACCAAAACTCTTCAGAAAGTGCTTAGGCTCTCTGACTGAGATGTGACGAAACTGCACCAGGAAGAAGGTATGCAAAACTCAATGTCTGAAAGGGAAACCTCAGTGATTTGTACTTTATTCCATTACTGTCCTGCAATCAAATAGGAATTTGCCGCACCAAATCACTTCATAATGCCTTAAAGCAGTTTTAATCCAAGCTCTATGTGCATTTATATGCATATGAAGCATACTTTTGCACCAGTGAGGAACAATTAAGGACCATCGGTCATTGGCATCATTACTGCACTTGTTTCAGCGGAAAGAAAAGAATTTGCAAATTAAAAATAATTCAAATACAAGTAACATATTCTGTGTATTCTTGAATTGAAACAGAGTAATTTTAATTACTTAACTTCTATTTCATAGTTTAATTTTTTTTACATTTACATTCAGAGCTGGACAATTAAACTGCAGTCTGTGTTTTTAACAAAGACTCTTCCGTACAAGTCACTTTTAAGATCCTTTGCATATTTCTTTTCTAAGTCTATCAAGTTCAAGCACTTGCAGGCAACAGAAACAAGACCCTCCTGCCCCATGCCTGCCTCCTTTCACCACTTCAGCTTTTTTTTCACTGCCCAACCCCAGAAATGTGTACTGAGAACATACGTACCAAAGTGGCCGTCTTTCTCCCCGCATTAAATGGTAACTACATCTCAGCGGCAAGTTTGTCACAGGAGGAATGTTGTTGTAGACACTCCAGAAATCCTTATAAAGAAAAGAAAAAGTTGGATTAACACCAGAAAATGTTTCATGCAGATTTACTTCCCTGTTCGTTTTCTCTAAAACTATTACATATCCTCCTAGAGAACTGTCACCTTCTATGTTATAATAAAATGCTCTGAAAAGAACGTGTTGCAATTTCACTTCAACTGTTTTTTTGTTAGATGCTGTTTCTGTGTAAGGTGGAGGTAGAAAGAAGGGAAGCAGTTGAGCTGTGGATTACTTTAGAATAAAAGTACTGAGGAACAAAGAGAAAAGAAATCATCAAAATCAGAGTTACACTAAATATATCAGAACAAAACCAATACCTAAAACTTCATTAGCTTATTAAAAATATATATTAAATATCCACCTTGTTTCACCTGGCTAGTCTAAAACTTCATCAGGATTAACTTCTGTTGAACTCAATGCCTAACTAGCAATTCAACTACTTGGTCCAGATCACAGTGAAAAGTTTCAATCTCAGAACGTGAGATGCACTTATTAATACAGGAAAGGGGGAGAAATTAGAAGATCCAAGCTACTAGGAATCATCAGATTGCTTCTCAGCTTTTCTGCTGGTAAAAGCAGAAGCTGTCATACACGTTTGGGGTGGATAAAAGGCACCCAAAAGTAGTGGTGAGCAACAGGGAGGGATCACTGAAAAGATCCAAATCCCCTTTCTTCTTTATCCAACAGCTGAGAATAAGAAAGGCTTTTTAAAGACTTATTTTGCAGCAACATGCAGTGATGCAATATTAAGCATTAGTACAACTCATTTAGAATTATCTAATACTTAATCATTAGCACAATTTTAGAAACAAAGACTGCAGCATTATGTGATAAATTTTTGTGGCCTTTTGCAATTCTGCCTACCAGCCATTACCATTACATAGTCACGAGAAGAGATGGAAGACTACTAAAAATATAAAAAATTGGTATGAAGCACCCGCTTCAACTTTCATCTTACTCTTACTTGGCTGCGTTCCCAAACCCTAAAGCTACCAACAGAAGTAGAAGGAGCAGAGCTAGGCCAGCTGACAACTGTGGAAAGGTTGGACAGTGCTTATGTCCTGAACCAGGGACTTAGGTGGGAAGGGTTTGGTTTTCAAGCATCCTTCAGGCAATGCAAACTGGCTTTCCTCATTGGCTAGCTACTGCCCCTGAAGGACAGCGATGAAGTTAATGAAGATTTTGGTTTTCCTTCCCCAGAGGAAGATCATATTAAGTGTGTTAGCACAGTAAGACACGTTCTGGGCCACGCTGCTAGGTTCTGATAACTTCATCCAGACCATGAGTCTTCCCAGAGAACTGAAGGAGTTTTATGTATTTTAAACCACAACACAATAAGAAGAAAACCTCAAGTTTTTCAGCCAATAAAACCTAATTATTTAAATAATGAAGGCTAGATTCAGAGTGGGAAAACGGTTAACACCAGATACTGTGCACACCAGCCCGTGGTCTTAAGCTGTCCTTTTTCCAACAAGAACCGTTGCAGCCCATTTTGAAACAAACCCAATTCTGTGGTCAGCTTTAAGTTCAGTCACTTCATTGCATGACCAATGGGGACGTTCTTCTAACGCAGAGAGGTGAGAGGGAAACTCCTGGGGTCTGCAGGACACTTGCATGCTTTATGCGAAAGTACTCCTGCTGATAACCTCCCCTCCAGAAAACTCCAAAAGCCAAATCATCTCTTAGGTCAATGAGCTGGGAAGAAACATCTCATGCAATGTAACCAGCTGTGCAGATGTTTTGGAGGAGACATTATTTAAAACTTCAGTACACCATTACAGCTGGGTTCCTCCAAAGAGAAGGTTTTGGTATTACCTTAGAATTTCAGAGATCCCGTGAACTAGAGTCAACTCAGCATTAAAGTGAGACAAATACCAATTCACTAAACTTCACGCTAACTGTGGTATTAAAGCAGAAATGCAATTTTACTTGCAAGAGATGCCCACTGCTCGGCACAGGCAGATGATACAGACATCTGCAGAATTTCTTGTGGCTGCAAGTATCGCATGATTTAAAAGTACTTTAATTTGAGTCAGTTTGTTAGATTTTTTTTTAAAATTCATGCTCAAGAAGAAAAAACCCACAAGCTGTAATTTTTAGTCTTTGTGCAATGATTTTCCATATTTTTAAATAATGGAGAAAAGGCATGAAAAATATTTAAAACGTATGAAGTCTAACAATGCAATGGCGGCACGAGTAGAAAGTCACATCAGGAAAGTTTCAGAAGAGTGGGGTTGCCTGATCAATCCAACAAAAATCCTCCTTTCCTGGTCTGGAAAGCAAAATGAAATTCAATCAGTGACCAAGAAATAACACTCCAACCAATAACCCTCGTGTTTGATACCACAGGTAAGCAAAGCCGTAAGTAACCGTGACTCATCCACAGGAACATTAGTGTAACTTCACACATGAAGTTTCATTTTTCACATGTGGCAACTCCCATCACAAAGCCACACACCTTACCTGTATTGTTTGTACCGTATAAATCTTCTTCAGATTTGATGCGCATTCAGCCGCTGTCGTGCCAGGAAGGGACCTTGAAAACAAAGTTAATTATTTAATAGAAAATATGTATTTTATCAAGGGGGGAGAAGGGAGATGGGTGGGGAATCACGTGAGCGTGAAGCTGAAACAGTCACAGGCCAAAGTTGTGTGACAAACTCTAATTCCAATTATCATGACTCATTTAAAGATGGAAATTCAAGTGCTTTTATACTTTTGAATATATTAAGATATTTTGATTAAACGTGTGAATTAGGAGTTTTAAAACAAGAATAACAGTGCTCTTCCTAATGGCCACCCCACACCCTTCTGCTGTCAGGCATCAAAAAAAGTTGAGCAGTTCCAGTGGGAAGGGGTATCAGGAAGGGGCTACCAGCTCCCACCCTGGATTTCTTTGTAATTGCACTTCATATAACCCAGCACCCACCTGGAGCATTTTAAGACACACACAGTGCTTAATACTTTTAAAGAGAAAGCTCATCCATAGAGTTTCTGTAATGAATTATAATTATTTCCCAAGCCCCTGCCACCTGGAGCACAGGCCATGAGGGCAGCAGCTGATGTTACAATTCCCAGCACACCCCCCCCCAGGCACAATTTGGGGGGAATAAGGTCAAAATGGCTAAGGCATATTCAGTTTGTTAGAAATGGAAACATTTTCTCCACCCCCTCTCAGAAGCTGAAGTAGGATTTCTAAAGGAAAATGAAGATCAAAGACAAAGCAACCTCAGAAGATACAGAAACGTGTAAAATGACTGAATCTGGGAACAGAAGCGACAGAGCAGGTTTAAGGAAGCTGAGGAAAAACCAGTTGTTGCTCAAGTAACCGCTGAAGGAAGGATAAGGGCAAACCAGACCTCAGTAACCCTCCCCTCAGTGTGGCTGTTTGCCCTGATACAGGTGATGAGCAAGAAATATGTCCAGGAAAACACTAAAATAACTCTTAGAGATATAATTCAGGTATATACAGATATAATTAAGGCTGTAGCACAAAACCTAAATATTCATATAAAGGAAGAAATTTAATATGCGAAAGTACTGAAACAGAATCACAACATCAAAACTTTAATAGCCGCTCCAATGCTTTTTGAACACTCCTATCAAAATAAGTCACTTTTAAAACATACGCAAAACCAACAGAGAAATGCCTCCCAACTTTTTCAGTACAGAACAGACAAACTAACATCTACTCTATTTGCCTGTTAATCCCTAGACATGAGAGTACATTGCAGCAGTGGAACTGATGAGAAAACGTTACAAGGCCAGATTTCAAAAATCACTTTAACTAGAGGTTATAAAAACAAAGTAAAAACCCCCAAGAAATCACTGTGTTGCAGGTTCTAGTCCTGTGGCTCATGAAAATTCCCACGGGAAAACTGATAACTTGGAAACAACAACAAGCAAAATTTTCAGCAATGTGCTCAAAAGGAGTTAGCATAGTAAGGTGGGGGTTTTTTTGAAGGTTGGTTGTTTGGGGTATTTTTGTACTCTACACTCAGCATTAAAAAAAAACCCAAACAAACCACCAACAAAACCAAAAAGATAAATTTGCAGTATTTAACAGAATCGGAGTCAATCAGATGGCTTATAAATGCACCAAAAAACCCCAAAAAGTAGTAGGTCAAAACAGACAGAAAACCTAGCAGGCGATTTAGCTGTTTGTCAGTAGGGAGTGGTGGTTTTGAAACAAACTATCAGTTGTGTTTAGCTTTTGCTGACAGAAGCAGGGCCTCTCTGCTAAGCTTGGTTTCATATGTGATAGCACACAAACGGGCAAACGCTGAGATAACTTTGCCTCTTGGTGTCTCACAGCAATGTCCAAGCAGTTACTTCTCTGAGGCACTACTTCTGCCAGTTTGCCAACTTAGCAGTCACCAATACCTAGGGGTTAACCCTGTTGTAGAAGCATAGAATCACAGAGTGGTTTGGGTTGGAAGGGCCCTTAAAGCCCATCCAGTTCCAACCCCTCTGCCATAGGCAGGGACACCTTCCACTAGACCAGGTTGCTCAAAGCCTCATCCAGCCTGGCCTTGGACACTTCCAGGGATGGGGCATCCACAGCTTCTCTGGGCAACCTGTCCCACTGCCTCACCATCCTCTCCAGGAAGAGCTTCTTCCTGATATCTAATCTAAACCTCCCCACTTTCAGTAATGATACTCTACATTTGTACAATGTAGAGTATCAATGGCTCGATGTCCAGATGGAGACTGGTGACACGTGGTGTCCCTCAGGGGTCTGTATTGGGACCAGTACGGTTTAATATCTTCATCAAGGATGTAGACAGCAGGATCAACTGCACCCTCACCGAGTTTGCAGAGGAGTGGTGCAGTCGACATGCTGGAGGGACGGAATGCCATCCAGAGGGACCTGGAGAAGCTTGAGGAGTGGGTCCATGTGAAACTCATGAGGTTCAACAAGGACAAGTGCAGTGTCCTGCACAGAGGTTGGGGCAATCCTCGGTATCCATACAGGCCGGGGGATGAAGGGATCAAGAGCAGCCCTGAGGAAAAGGACTCTGGGGTGTTGGTTGACAAGAAGCTCAACATGACCCAGCAGTGTGTGCTGGCAGCCCAGAAAGCCAACTGTATTGTGGGCTGTATCCAGAGAAGCATGGCCAACAAGGCGAGGGAGGTGACCCTCCTCCTCTACTCTGCTCTCGTGAGACCCCACCTGCAGTGCTGCGTCCAGCTGTGGAGCTCTCAACGTAAGGATATCAACCATTGGGAGCAAGTCCAGAGGAGACCATGAGGATGCCCAGAGGGCTGGAGCACCTCTCCTCCAAAGAAAGGCTGAGAGAATTGGGCTTGTTCAGCCTGGAGAAGAGAAGGCTCCAGGGAGACCTTATAGCACCTTTCAGTACCTGGAGGGGCCAACAAGAAAGCGGGAGGGGGACTTTTTACAAGGGCCTGTAGTGATAGGACGAAGGGTAATGGCTTTAAACTGAAAGAGGGTCGATTCAGACTAGATATTAGGAAGAAATTTTTTACAATGAGGGTGGTGAGGTACTGTAACAGGCTGCCCAGAGATGCCCCATCCCTGGAAACATTCAAGGTCAGGTTGGACACGGTCTGAGGAACCAAGTTGAACACGTCCCTGCTCATTGCAGGGGCGTTGGACTAGATAGCCTTTAAAGGTCCTTTCTCACCCAAACTATTCTATGATTCTATTTCATGATCATCGCTCTGATACTGCAATAGTAAGGACTATTCAAATAAAAGATTAAAACCTATTCTCTAACGACAGCCTTCAAAGGTTATCTAGGTAATAATGGTAGCCATTTAGCAAATTCAATGCCATTTAAAAGAGCTAAGACAGATAGACAGAATATTCCACTCCAAGGTCATAAAATGGTTCATTTTGACAGTTGCAAATAACATTTTCCAGAGAAACTATGTGACCAGGTGTCAGAAAACACCAACCAATTAGCAAATTACCTGTTTTAAAAGTTAAGGTGAGTGATCACTTATTTCTAGTAACCTGCCCGACAAGTGCTCCATACCCACAAGCGATATTTCAGCCTTTCACCCAGCTCTAGAAAGTGTGGGTGATTTATGGGTATGAGCATGAACCCCCAAACTTTTATTAAAAATCCAAAAGCGACTAACTATTGAAGGGACTGCAGATGAGAAAAAGGTGACATGCATCAATTCACACATTTTGGGATCATTTGCAGCAGAAATTACACCTGCACAGATTTGGTTTCATGAATAAGGCAGAGACAGTATCTTAATCACAGTCAGAAGGAAAAATCCCAGAATTTCCTGCAAAATTACAGGTTCTGACCAACCTGAACCACAGTGATTCCACAGTAGCCATCCATAAACTCAGCAGATCAGCACAAACGCCAACTGAGTGGGTTTTGTGCCTTGAAACCCATGACACTGTGATTTTTATCTTTTTAAACTGAGTACACAGAATAAGTTTAGATTAAGTTAGCAGAGATGGCAGATGACTTCCAAGCGAAGGAATCTGTAGAATTTCCTATTTCTGTAGCTCTTCCAGTAAACACTTACACCCCAACCTAGGAGTAGTAAGATGATTGGGTACTTGTGATTGTACAAAACAAGAAGCCTGCAAATATCAACCCTTAAAATGACGCTATTACAGGATTCCCCCCTTTGGGGTAATTTTACTGCCATCAACAATAATCCGATATGCCACAACACACTGTCACTTATTGCCATGGCGAACAATTAATTCCCAAGGAACTCAACAGACAGTGTAAGCCCTCACTAACAGGAGGGGACAGGTCCTCCCAGCTGGGTCACAGCAACAGCCAAGCACCGACTGCTCTCCTGGGGATGGGCATAGTTGGTCTGCCGCCACATCACCTACCAAGGCACATCTGGGTTCCCCAGGGAGATTCTGCATATAAAATATCCAACAGTTCTCCTGCTCCGCCTGTTTTGTGCCCTGTGATGCCACTTCTGAATCTTTATGGGGGAAATTTTAGTGCAATATCAGGAATAACCCCACGGCATAATGAGGCTGGACCGACCGTAGCACATCTCACAGCAAACCACATGGGTGTCAGTTAAAAGGGGAACATGGAAACAGGAATAACCTACACGAACCGAATCCTAATGCCAGCTTGCGTCTCTATTCCACCGTTATTCCTGCGCGAATAAAGAACAAAGGATAAATTCCATTGTTTTATCCATGACTAAACCTCCAGGTGGTTGTGCTTATGTTAATGTCTGATGCTGAACTGTAGCTCTTCTGTCTCCCTGCAAAGAATTAAGAAGTTTTTTCATATGTGCTCACACTGGCCTTTGTTTCCCAGTGGGATTCTAGTTGCGGCTTTAGCGGGAGCTTTGAAAGCTGCCAAGCACTTTTGAAAATACCCCTGTAAGTACTCAGCCGCAACTGGTTTTGGTATAAATAAGCAAAATATTTACTTACAAAGCATAAACTGAAAAACACTCTGTGGCAACTAAATAAATCTGGTAATCCATTCTGAATAGAAAGACTGATTTCAAGCCGTCAAAGCCTGTCAAAATGCATTTACCGGGTTGAACGTTCTTATAATATTAACCATCATTTTTCATTGTAAGCCACCTACTCATAAGCCTTAATATATGAAATAGATGATCCTAGATAAATAAGATTTTGCTATAGGGAAGAATGGAAATTATTAAGTTTAGCGTCAAATATCTGATGTGTTCAGTTATGAAGATTCACAATTATTACGAAAACAGTTCCGTTATCAGAATTGATCTACTAAATTGTACTTTTATAGAACTCATCAATATCATACGCAGAGAGAAACATCAGCACATAAGAACAATACATTCATGTAAGAATATTTCCTGGAATAGACTAGTAGCACTGCATTACATTTGACAATGTTTATAAGCATATTCTTTCTCTCACAAAGACATAGAAGAGTTAAACTATTCTTGCAATAGAAAACAAAATGACCTAAAAAGCATTAAGTTAGGCAAGAAGGCAAGGCAGGCCACTGTAAGCAGGACCCTGCACCATACCACAGCCTCCCCGAGATAAACACGAGTGTGAAGAGCCACCAGCATGAATCAGCTTCCCAAGGTGGCAATTCCCCACGCCCCATAATGTCGCCGCATAAAAACACACCACAAATTAAACACCCAGGTATGAACTTGGAAACCCGCAGAATGGACAAGCGAAACAGCAGATCTAAACTCCTGGTTTCAAAACTTCTAGCACAAGACCTTAAAACATTTTAAGGGTTAAAAAGGAAATCTTCCTTCTCTTCAGAGAAAACCACCTGACAGCTTCTGTCTTCTTCTATGAAATTGCTGACCCGCGAGCATTTGAAGGTGATAGATGGATCTTATTTGTCAAACTGGTGAATAATATTCTCCCAAACACTTTCATCATGCTCACTCTCCTAGAGCATACACAGGGTACGATACAAGAGGGCAATATCAGATGGTTACTATTTTCAGACACACATACCAAGAAAGGCTTAGCACTTACGGGAAATGCAGATGCCCTGTGACACGTGTGAGATAATGGCAATGAACCAGAACCCGGCCACAGCATCCCAGCCTCCAGATGTTAAGCCTGTGCCAAGGCATTCACAGAAACAAGTGCTGATGCAGATGAAAGAAAGGCATTTACTTCTAAAGCAGGAGATGTATTGAGTGATTCTATGATAAAAGCAAGGTCGTGATCCCCACGGGAATCCCTCAGTAGCGTATCGCTCGTTGCTATAGAAAGTGCTGCTTAGCTGATGGATATTTAAGTGTGACTTAATGAAAAGATACATTCTAACATGTATGTCATGGATCTCTCCCACAGTAATTTAATAGAAAAAGACAACTACATATCCATCTCAACATCTATTTATCCTTAAGCGTCACTTCTTCCTGCTTTTCAGTCCACGTACAGGGTAAAATGTAGTCGCAGTCAAAAATCAATACCATTTCATGAGGAAACATCCCTGCCTCACACTAGGTGTTACTAAAGGAAGTTTAAAAAGTGCCCACAGTTATCTTCTATGGAAAGTTCATCCTATACAAACCTAAGCGATGATCAGATCTGCGTGGGTGTACCCATAAACGTCACAGCCACTTCTGCGAGACTCTGAACCTCCACACACGGCAGTAAATTAAGTCCATGGTTGAATCTTGTGTGCTTTTTAATGCCTTACATGTCTTTTAAATGTACGAAACATGCCTGGTCTGCTGTCATTCTTGTTCCCTGACATTATTCTATCACTTGCTGGTAAACAAAACACAGTTTTGTGTATATGTGGTCCCACTGTTATTTGTCCTTACACATACAATCTTGGTTTTGTAAGTTACAGAACAACAATATTATCTAATCAAATGCACTTATATGTGATCAGAAAGAAGAAAAAGAAAACAAATCTATAAAATAAATGAATTTTAAGTGTCTAAATTATAGTGGAACCAAGACTTAGGAAAAAAAAATCATGATGCAACTCAGGAACTTGAAATGGGTTTTAACTTCCGACACTGATTATAAAAGACAGACTTGCTTATCCCCACATGGCCTGTGGAAACAAACAGACCTGGACGGTAGCTTGCTTAAAGAGCAGTCCAGATGGGGCTTTTTGAAAACAAACAAACAGAAAACACAGCTCAGACCCTGACCCCCACCATAACTACATAATGAGTTCAAAAGGATTAACCTGAAATATTTTTGGGGTTATTTATAGGATGTAATTTGCAGGACCTGGGAATATTTGTGTGTTTTCTACGGTTTCCTGCTATTTCTCTGTCATGAGTTGAAAACTTACCAAAAAATAAGAAAAAACGAGGCGAATTTTACCAATATTATGAGGCAGTATGTTCAAAGGAGAGAGCTTTCCTTCTGGGGTGGGGGGAGA